AGCAGAACACCAGCTAAAGGTTCAAAGAAGCAGAATGCTAGCTAAAAGAAGCAGAACACTGAGCTAAAAGTAGCAATAGAGTAGCAAAATCAAGTGTTTAATTATTAAAAAAAAAACATACAGAAAACTGAAGGAAAAACCAGAAAGTTGTGTGAGAAGTGACTCATCATCCACGTTAACACGAAGCTGTTGAGACCTCGTGGGTCATTTTGACCCAAGGGCAGCAGGAGGGTTGAAACTCCCTGCTATGAAATAAAATATCGGTAAACACGAAGTCGAGCCGACATTCACAGAGCTTGTGGCTGTTCTCTTTTAGCTGCTGTTTTTAGTTTAAGTCCAACAGGACTGGGGCGGTTCCTCTGCAGAGCGGCATGTGAACCGACCACCATGTTTGTTTTATTAATCTGAGATCTGCAGCGAGCTGGGCGGGAATAAAGACGGAGGAATCTCTGGAATTCTGCTCTGGTATTCCTCGGACGTGACAGGAAACTCTGCCGCTGATGTCATAAAGCATCTGATATTCAATCGGCGATGGTTTTATGTGGCGATAAAAGAAAAGTAAAAGTAAACCGACGCCCAGCTGTCATTCAGAGACAGGTTGTGTGTTATTTGTGCCCTGAGGCATCCCATCGCACCATTAGTCACGAGGTGTGAACTCATGAATGTTTAAATCAAGCCTGTCACACCCGGACTAATGAGTGTGAAGAAAACTGGTTCTGCTGTCCGTCCCTGCCTCCGGTTCTGTGATGTTTATTCAGATGAACACTGGTCATGATGGTCCTCTCAACTGGGGCTGACACCAGAACAGTTGAAAGCCTCTGTAGGCGTAATTAATCTGGACCTTTTTTTTAAAAAGTTTCTAGACGTTTCAATAAAAACTGGAGCTGAGGACGCCTCTGGGAGTCCAGACTCTGGCTGGCCTTTTGCAGCCGAACTTCAGGTTGAACTTCAATCAGTTTCAACCTGAACGACTCGAACGTTTAACCTGTCCAAGTCCTTTTGATGTTTTTACCATATTCTCATTAGCTTAAGCCTTGTTTTGTCCACTCTAAGCTGCTAATCCTTCATTTATTGGCGTGCAGCCGTAAAACGGTGCGGTTTCTGTGCCTGAAACGTTCAGTAATGTTTTCCTGTTTGGACTCTGAAGCCTTTGAGGATTTGTAAACTCTGATCACCAGTTTCCAGTTGCTGTTGGGGAAATCTGAGTGACTAACGTGATAAGAGCGCATGAAGAGTTGAGATAAGCCTCGTGTTTGCTCTGGCACAGCAGATGGGAACGGAGCGGACCGTGCCAAGAAGCGTTGTTGCCGCGCTTTTTAAAATTCCTCTGATCGCATGAGGAAAAACTGCATTTCTTTAGTTTCTTTTCTTTGAACGCTGTCCCCCGACTTTGTAACGCAGGAGGAGACATCCGGGAATCCTGCCCAGTTTGGAGGATCTGCTCTTCTACACGGTGGCAGAAGGTCAAGAGAAAATCCCTGCTCATAAATTTCTCACAGTAAGTCCTGGACGTTCGCTCCGGAGGAGTGGTTCAGATCTTCTGAAGGTTCTGAGAAAAAGTTGTAAACAGTTGGTACGAGCTACAACACCTGCACGAGCTGATAAAGATCATTTAGGGCTGCACAATGTATAGACGTGGTACAATCAGATGGACTCTTGACTCCACGAAATGCATCCACACGAGATGAAATATTCAACTAGGATGTCACGTTTTCTTATTATCGTGCAGCCCTGCGACTATTTAAGTGTTTCCAAATTTATAGAAGAATTGATTGAGCCCAGATTTATAAATAAGTGGAGATATGAACCACTTAAAGCAAGTTTATATATTAACCTAGCATGTATCTTATTTAGATACAATCCTAATTGCATTGTCTTTAATTAAAATAACTAGAATCGCCATTAGACGGGTACAATTGGTTCAGACCACGCAGCTCCCTGAAGAAATGGTTCAGATCTTTAGAAGTGCGGTCAACATCTTACCTGTCGTAGATAACTCTTTGAACGTTCTCAGTTTGGAGAAATGTTTCATTCAGGGCGGACTGACAAGCTAACGGCTAGCTGGATCGAAGAACGTTTTATTTCACGTATATATTTTAACTTATATTTTACCATTTATTATTCACATCGTCGGCCTGGCAACAAATGCTGCCGCCTTTTAAATATCAAATAATTTGTAGCGAGTCATGCACACATTTTCATAAACATTTACAGGGCCAGAGTTTTGTATCACATAGTTACTCCTGAGGAAGTGCTACAGCTAACTGTCACTGCTCGCGACAAAGATCTTGCTCAATCAGTTGACGCTCAGATTACGTGTTGGGGATTATGACGTTCAGCTGCCACCACATCAGATTTTAGCTCAATATCTATAAAACAATTTGTTGTAGGCATTTTTGTGTTGTGGCAGCCATCTTGAATCAAGCTACTCTGGTATCTTGTCAATATGATCTGAATCAAACTCTTATTTTTCAAACTGATATCACTCAAAGAGCTATTTACAACAGGTAAGATAGTAACTATTCATAACCTTTATCCAAAATCCCCCCCTTCTTTAACCTTCATAAAGAGCTGAACTACCCCTTTAATGTCGGTTGTCACAGATCATGCTAAAGGCGACATTGGCATTAAATGGCACCTTTGTTTACACATGAAGCTCGTGTTTAAAGTTGTTTTTGTTCTGATTCAGGCGCTCAAAGCCACCGGGCTTCGGACCGGCGATCCCCGCCTGAAGGAGTGCATGGAGACCCTCAAACAGACTTTAAAGAAGACTCCAGACGGCGTGACGCTCGACAGGCACCTCTTCAAGAAGTAAGGCTTGTCGGGTCTTGTTTGGATCTCTGGTCTGTGTCACGCTGGTGATTTGTGTTCCTCCGAGCTCAGTCCAGCCTCGGCAGGACTTCCAAAACGGTTCCAACCCGGTCCGAACGGGGAACTCGAAGGTTTTCTGTTGAAGTAACATGAATCATCCAATGCTGCTGATTCATCAGGTGGAAAGCGATCAAAATGCTTTTTTTTTTTATTGGTGCACGCGATGATCATTTAGTTTTAAATTCATTCCTTTACAATGACACGATTAAAATAGCATTATTTTAAATACTTTGACCTGAAGCCAGAGTTATGTCGACCACACTGGGACCACCTCGAATTGGGGAAAAAAAACTAAAGTTTGAATCTTTCAATAATTAAAGCAACTTTTCTTTGTAATGAAATTTAAGACGTCACGTGAGTTTCGCTCTAATGTCCTCCAGCCCGTTCTGAGCGTTTCCAAACGTCTGTAAACCTTCAGCTGAGAGACGACGTCAGGTAAACGGCTCGGATCGGAGCTGCGGAGCGTCTGCCTGTATTTATATTTGTCCAATTTATACATCAGTGTTTAAAAATATATTTTAATGTTTAAAACAGTGACGAAAAGGAAGGAGATGGTTCTGATATTTCTCCAAATAAATTATGCAACCCTCCTGCTGCCCTTGGGAAGAAATGACCCTCGATTGTGATTAAGGCCACCGTGGTTTGACCCAAGGGCAGCAGGAGGGTTCATTTCAGATTTCTGCATAATTATTGAGAAAAAAAACTTGCACATTTATTTTTTCCTGTTTCCAAAAAACATTGACTGAACTTGGCCCTCGACTCAGTTTAGGTTTTTAATTTTGACCCCCCTGGGGTCAAAGGTCACGCAGTTTTTTAAAAAGAAGATTGAAGGACAGGTCTAAAGATTCATCAGGAACACGAGCAAAGTCTGTCAGTTGAGTTTGCAGCAGAACCTTCAGGAGTACCTAACAGGATTTTTTACCCAACATTTATTTAACGATTTTTCAATCGTTAAAGTGCCGTTGTCTTCGCGATAATTTGGCGTCATGAGTTACGTGACTCGTTTCACCCCCAGTCGACTTAACAAACTAACTTACACCAACGTGCATGAGTTTGAGCTCATCACTGCGGTGCAACGACGCCTCTTCATCAAACACCCGTTTTACCTTCATAGAAGTTTGTCAGACTTCACAGTTGCTAACTTGGTTGGCAAACTTTCTCCTCAGCTGCATGCCATCACGGTGATTGAGCATCCTGTTTGTGGTTTCGTCCATCAGGTGTGTCCAGAGCAACATTGTCCTGCTCACTCAGGCTTTCCGAAAGAAGTTCGTCATCCCCGACTTCCAGGCCTTCACCTCCCATATTGACAAGCTTTACGAGAAAGCCAAAAAACTCACCGGAGGACAGGTGTGTCCTTGGGTCCATGACTCTTTATTTGTTTGTTTGTTTGTTTTTTCATCATCGTTGTTGTTGTTTACTGCATACAAATTCATTATCATCACTCTGTTCCGATTTGGAAACTCTTTAAGAGCAAACTTTTTTCTGAAAGGGGAAAAAAAAAATGCACTCTTGAACACGTCAGAAACGTCAAAGTGGTGCTATTTTCTCACCCAGACGCTGGAGTTTCTTCTGGTTCTGTTTAGTTCTTCTTGCTTCCAGGAACTAAGTGTGTGAAAAGAGCTGGGTCGTGAAGGAATGCATGTCGCCCACTGCTCCAATCTTTCAAGCAAAGGTTTTAATGTGACCTCAGCGCTTAGAGCAGGGCTATTCAACGAAATTGCTCAAGGGCCACAGTTACTGGAAGCCATGAGCTCAGGGGCCGGACGTCCAGTTATTCTCATGAATTAATTCTCATTAATTAAGTTGGTTTTATGGTTTAAAATCTAGTTTTATTTAAAAATGAATCCATTGGTGGGCCAAACTGAGCACATCTTGGGCCTGATTTGGCCCCTGGGCCGCTAGTTGAATAGCCCCGTCTTAGATTTTGTTTTAGGGATGATTCTCGGCTATTACCTCGCCAAGTTTTAGCTCCATATCTCTAAAATTGACAAAGTTGTAGCTATTTTTCGAATGTCCCAAACTCAGTCGGGGCACATTTTACTTCCCGCCTTTTTCACTTTCCCTCCACTTTTTATGATCATGCTAATAGCATTCAGTTTTTTTGTTTGTTTTTTTTCCGGATGTTGGAAAAGACGAAGTTGTAAGACTATCTAAAATTAGCAGCATATTTCAATGTTAGAAAAATGTCAGCGTTTCTTAGAACTAAACTGATTAATCTGTCCTGTCAAGAAATGTTCGTCGTCATATATGCTAACTAGCATGTGGCTAACGGCAGCAAGGTTTACAATCGGAACCAGACTTTTCAGTCATGTTTTATCATTTTGCTTTAGAAAAACATAAAAGTACATTAGATTTAAAAAAAACTGAAGAAATGAGGACGTTGGCAAACCCCGTCACGTCCTTTAACATCTGTCAGATAAATTTCATGTAAACCACTAAGGACATATTAGGTTTTTTTTTAAGGAGACATTTTTATGGAATATTAAATGTATGGAAACATAAAATGTGTCTACTTTGATATTTTTATTCAATCTTTAGTTTCCAGATTTGACCATTTTGAGTCTTACTTTGACTCTTTGCGTGTTCAGGGGTGGATTTTTCCTTTGACCTGCGTTAATCTTGTTTTTTTGTTCTGTGGGTGCGTGATGCTCTTGGTCGGCGGCGTGAAGCGACGCTCTCTCACTCACTGCTTTACCTCCTCTTCAGGTCGCAGACTACATTCCTCAGCTCGCCAAGTTCAGCCCCGACTTGTGGGCCGTCTCTCTGTGCACGGTGGACGGACAGAGGTGAGACAGTTATTTATTGCGGTACGTTGTGTTTTTTTTAAACGGGGTGTGCGAGGACACCGTTTTCCCAGAAACGGAACAAACCTGTGCGGAAAGGCGATTATCGGGCGTGTTGCGTAATCGTTTCTGAAGGCGTGCTCATGGACCTGCGCTCTGACAGGCCGCTGCAAACCGCCGTACGCGAGCGTGTTTGTGTTTAAGGAGATGCCATAAAGATAACACAGTTATGTTTTGAAGCTGTTGCTGTTTTTATCGTTTTCCTTTGAGACGTTTAAACATTTCCTCCGGTTTATTGTCTGTTGTAACTCCCAACAGCTCCGCACGTTCAGACGGGGGGTGTTTAACCTCTGTTTTCTGTCCTAGACACACGGTGGGAGACACCAAGGTCCCGTTCTGCCTGCAGTCTTGCGTCAAGCCTCTGAAATACGCCGTGGCAGTTCACGACCACGGCACGGAGTACGTGCACAGTTTCATTGGGAAGGAGCCGAGCGGCCTCCGCTTCAATAAGCTCTTCCTGAACGAAGAAGGTGAGATGGTAACTTTGTGAAAAAGACTTTGCCTTAGAGTTCAGGTTATGTCAGTGAACGGGTCTGTTTTCATGCATAAGGCGCATTAAGCGAAACAAAACAGTCAAATAAGTCAAACTTTATTCAACTCGTTCACAATAACCACATATAAAATCGGTGTGAGGTCGGTGAGCACAACCAGAGTTGATACGTAAGGCGCACCTGATTATAAGGCTCACTGTTGATTTTTGAGAGAATTAAAGGATTTTAAATGCGCCTTATACTTCGAAAAATACGTTAAACGGCGGATCAGGATGTCCACGTTGAGAATCAGCAGAACATTTAGAGATGAAACTCAGCAACATTTAGCAGAAACTGACGAAACACCGTGTTTGAAATAATTTTTACGAGTTAATCTTTCAAAACACAGATTATTGTTTAAAGAAAAATGTTTAGTTAAATATGACTGATCATCTTCAAAAACACTTGAATCAGAAAAATAAAACCTTTTTATGTTAAGAACATTAGTTACATTTAAATAATTGCGTACAAAAAAGAGACTGAACTTCGCTTTTGTGTTTTACGAACACAGAATAAGATTTTATAAACCCAGGTTTTATTCACGACAACAAAGTAAACATCAAATGTTAAAAACGACCATTTATTGGGAAAAGGTCATTTTATTTTTGTTTAGTTTAGTGGGACGGGGCGACAATAGTCCTGTGAGGTTCTGGGTTTGTGTTTTTTCCACAGACTCGTGTAACCTGGATTGTTTTTTTAAGATTATTTTACAGAGCAGAGGGAAGCTCCTGCTCCCACAGATTATCTCAGATGACCTCCTCGGTCCTCGTCTTGTAATCTGAGGCTTCCTCCGTCCTGGTTTCACCTCAGCCTGCTGAATAATTTGCAGACGCTTGGCCATTTCTTAGGTTGTATCGCGGTGCGTCGAAATGAGCCAATAACATTTTACAGGTTTTTATTCGTGGCTCGTTGTCGGGTTTAACTCCTCTGGAGGAGAACCTTTGATTTGACATCTTTTATAATTATAGGCCTCGGTGCAGCGTTTATATTTAGACGAGACGTCTGCTTTAAATTAAAAAAGGATGATATTTACGCTGGTGTCATTCCTGAAAAACAGCAGAAATTAGCTTTAAGAAAAACTAACGATGTGTAATGTAGCTGAAATGAAAGAACAAGCCTAAATTAGCAGCAGAAAGAACACATATTTGCTGTATTGGGTTTAAATAATCAAAAATGAGCACAAAAATCAGGAAATCGGCTAAAAAAATGCTGAAATTAGAAAAAAAAACGTCTAAAAAAATAGCAGAAGAGGCAGAAAGAAGCTTAACCTGTGAGAAGGAAGTGGAAAGAACTGAAATTAGCTTAAAAGTGAAATTAGCTGAAAAAGCTAAAATTGCATAAAACAGCTAAATATTAGCTGAAATGGCAGAAAAAGCTGAAACTAGATGAAAAAAGCTCAAAGGAGCATAACAAGCTGAAAGAAGTTAATTAGGCTGAAAGTAGCAGAAATTACTATGGAAAAACTTGAATTTATCTTTAACAGCTGAAATGAGCTAAAACCTTTTCCAAAAAGAAAGCTGAAAAGGTAGAACAAGCTTAAATTAGCAGAAGAAAGCAGAAAGAACACATTTACCCAATTAAGCTGAAAGAAGCAAAAATGAGCACAAAAGTAGAAATTATTTAAAAAAAAAAGCTGAAATTAGCACAAAAATCCAGCTGAAAAGTAGCTAAAAAGCAGAAAGAAGCTTAAATTACTAGAATGGAGAGAGTACATTTTTGCTAATTTAGGCTGAAAAAAATTGAAACGAATGCAACAAAAGGGAATTGATTAAAATTTTTAAATTGGCATAAAAACAGCTATAAAAAGAAAAAGCTGAAACTTTCAAAAATAAGCTGAAAGGAGCATAATGAGCTTAAATTAGCAGAAAGAACCTGCAAGGAGCACAAAACGGCTAAAATTAGCTGAAAGTAGCTGAAAAAAATGATTAAATTTGCAGAAGGAGGCTGAAGCAGAACAAAATATGAAAGCAGCAGTAAAAAGTTGTAAACGGATCTAAAGATTTGAAGGATGTAAAATGAGCTCATTTCATTTTCTATGAGACAAAAAAATGGCAGAAAAAGCTAAATATTTCAAAAAGCTAAAGTTGCACCAATACCAAACGTTATAGCAGGATTGTCCTGATAGAGCTGAACGTTTTGATTTGTGGATTGTTGAAACAGCTGAAAACGGGGGGACGAGAGAAGCTCTGAAAAATGGATCATAACAGTGTGAATGCTTCGTAAACATTCACACAATAATCTGTTGTTTTTGTTTGTTTAATCCGAGCTCACTCCAAACCGAACAGCCGACAAGTCATCTGCGGTTAATAATTACATCGGCTTTAAGAAATACTTTGAGTGTTTTTAATTAAAGAGAGCCCAACATTTCACTGTGCGCTGGTCGTTCATTCAGCTTTATTTAAATTAAGTTAAAGGTATTTTTCAGCTTCGGTTCGATCCTGACGGAGCTCTCGTTGGTTTTGTTCGTTTTGGCAGATAAGCCCCACAACCCCATGGTGAACGCCGGCGCTATCGTTTGCACGTCTCTGATAAAGGTAAGAGCGGCGCCACTTTCCTTTTTCATCCGCTGGTTTTAAGTGTCGTCCCGCATCTCGTGTTTGTGTCGCTTCCTCTCAAGCTTCAGCCATAAAGTCCCGCTGAAACGGCGTGCAGCTGCTTTATCGGGTAGATTAAAGGAGGTCAATATTTGTAGCGGGTCGGTAGTTTTGGCTGATTAAACACGAAACGACTCGCTCGGCAAGCCTCGCGAAAACAAACCGGCAGCGATTTGACCCGCGCTCCATTTCCATCCACTTACAAAAACCATTTCCTCGGACGTCAGGCTCAAAGTGACAGTGCTGAAGAAGCTGCGCTCATCTGGTGCCAACCGCTGCAGCAGGTTGTTAATCAAGTCTTTCGTGTCTTTATTGAGTTTTACATCATTTTACAAAATAGTTATTAGACGTCAATTATCAGTCCCAACTTTTAGACCCTCTCAGAAAAGTTGCCGTCAAATCACTTTACGTATTTGGACTTGCAGCTTTTAACAGACTGATCCACGTCTTTCTTTTCTTTAAACGTTGAGGCGTGTCCGTAGGTGTCATTTACCATTTTAACTGAAGCAGTTTAATCATTTAACTCAATGGCAGCGGGAGGGTTCATAGGATGGAGCCGAACCCACCTTGCTTCAGTGTTAAAGCTGTAGATAAATAAATAAAGTGTTGTAAGCTCATTCATCCAGGTAGACGACAACAAAACCAGTTAAATCGTGTCATCTGGACCAGTTTCTGCTTAAAGAAACTGGTCCAGATGACACGACTTAACCGTTTTTGCTGTAGATAAACGGTCTGGCAGATCTTTAAACCTGTTCAGGACAAAAAAAATAAACAATATTTTCCTCATATCAGTGTTAGTTTCCTTAAAATGTATAATTTTACTCGCATTTCGGAAAAGCATTCATTTATCTAGAGATAAATTCATGTAGGAACAACTTTTTAATTTTTTTTTTAAAGAAATCTGAAATTCCTGCCAAGCGTGAGCCCTGGATGCCACCATGTCTGGTTCGTGAAGGTTCTTGTTTCCCTCGGGGCGTCACTCTGAAGATTTGACTAATTTAGCCTCGAGGGGCGCCGGGAAACCATCTTGAACGCTTCTAGTTGTAGTTTCCGTGAGTCCAAACGAGCGTCACGGCCATGATATTAGTTATAACCCCGCTTTAAAACGGACGAACTGCTCCTTTAAAGTGCCTTACGTAATCCTTTTCGTGTGCACTTCCTTGCTTCGCTCGGCGCCGTCAGGTCAGGCAGGTTGCAGCAGTTCCTCCTGTTGACTCGTGAGGTGCTCCTCCGTCTCCGCTCAAACCTGTTGGACAAAAACTCGCCTCCTCCGGGAGGTCGAACCTGCGTCCGAGTTCAGCGGCTGCATTTAAAGGTTGTCTTCATGGTTTCGCTCATGCACGTCTGCACCGGGCGGACGTTTAGTGCATCTCGACGCTGACGACCTCGCTGTAGCTGGAGGCTAAACTCGACTTTCAAAATAAAAGCTCGATTGATTTCTTGAGGCCTTTGTTCGGTCGTTGGCAGCCTCTGAATTCAGACGCAGTGTTTGTGTCTGTGGCTCATCCGTGTCTTTGTTTTAATTTTTTACTGTAAAAAGCCTTTAACGTCAGAGGGGTGATAATTATGGGATGGTTTGCCCCGGCAGTGTGCACCCAAATGTTGTTACCTGCTGCTTGAAGGCTACATGTTGTTGTTTTTTTGTATGTTGCATTTTTTCCAGACGTAGGAACTGTGGGAAATAATGACCGCTGCTGCAGGTCAAATGACGTTGGTAATTTTTTCTTCCTTTTCCATATCTATCTCCTGACCTCTCCCTCTTCTCTTTCGCTCCGATCGGCTCTGTAGAAACCCGTTTAGTGACTCTTTAACATCATTATTCCTGCTTCTGTTCAGTGCAACTTTTAAAAACAATGGACTCCAGTCCAGTTAACGAGCCCATCCAAAATTATAGTGCAGTTTTTTGTTTTTTTCAAACACGTAACACTTTAAAGTGCATGTGTGCATATTTTTATTCTTGCTGTGGTTTTTTTTTTTTTTGAGTAACGATGCAGCGTCAGATTGGGTTAAAATCCACTCGGAAACAAACCGAAGGACATTTCTCCTCCTGTTTTTGGACTCCCTGCACAGATTTTGACCCTTGACCCCGCCCACTCATGCATCACTGTAACTCATAGAGCGACAGCTAAACTCTCCAACCTGCACGCAGTCAGAAACGTGTCCGAATCAGCGTGTTTTAGTTTAAACTCTGCACTAAACCTCCCTTCAGCTGCAGACAGACGCCTCTTTTGTAACAAATCTTCACGTCCGCTTAAAGCCAAATCAATTTACTTCTCCATTTTTAATTGTGATTAAATCTGTTTCTCGTTGTTTAGTTGTCGTTTTAGCTGTGTGAAGCCGCTGCTGAAGGAACTCGACTAACTGACTTCCTATTTTCTTCTCCGCAGCAACACGCCAGCAACGCTGAGAAATTTGACTACGTGAGTATTGTGGGGAAATAATATGCCAGTTGAGGGACGTAAACATCAACAAATACAAAACAAATTACATTAAATCAGAAAACTTTGAAATATTTTCAGGTTGGGTTTAGCTTTTTTAGGGTTTGTTCACTGTTTTTACAATTTGTTGTGGTGTTTTAGTTATTTTTACGTTTGCTCTTCAGCTATTTTTTTAGCCATTTTCAGCTTCTTCGGCTAATTTTAGGTTTGCTTTGCTATTTTCAGCTCCTGTTTTGCTTTTTTAAATCTATTTTCACCTTTTCTTTGTCTATCTTTAGCTTTTGTTCAGTTATCAGTTTTTAATTTAGCTCCTTTTTATGTTTTCTTCAGGTAGTTTTAGCTTTTGTTTTCAGATTTTCTGTCAAATTTGGTGTATCTGAGAGCAGTCAACACAAACTGGAGGCTAAGCAAACATTCAAGACGGCTGATATAAAATATGCTTCATTGCTTCATGGCTCATTTTTTAGCTGTTTTTCTGCTCCTGTTCAGCTTGAATTAATTTCTTTAGCTACTTTTCGGTCCTTCTTATGTGAAAGCTTATTTGTCTCTCTCTCCGATTCCTCCTCAGGTCATGAATTTCCTGAAACAAATGTCAGGAAACGAGTACGTGGGTTTCAGCAACGCCACGTAAGTCAAAGATTTCAGTTTTTAATTAAATCCAGAACTGATGCGTGACGAGTCAGCCCCATTCAAGATGGCCGCCGCAGCTATTCAACAACAAAAGGCTGCTCAGTTACAGTGAATGAGGTAAAGTTTATGTGGTAGTAGCTGAGAGTCGACCTCAACTCACAATCTGAGCATTACCGCGGCTCGCTAGATGTGGCTGTGGCGGCCATCTTGAATTCAGCCTGTCGTGGAAGGCGGCAGACGATATTCCGTCGAGGATTATCAGTCTTTCAGTTTCTCTCCAGGCTTCGGCTGCTTTTTCCCACACAGTTATTGTCTTCGCACCCGAGACCCACGAATCGTTTAGACATAAAACTGAACTCCAGGGAGTTCTGTTGATGCTTTAACAAGACGTTTTAGAAAAAAGAGAAAAATAAATAAATTTGAGCTTTTTTGTTTCTTTTAGCCCGTCGCTAAAGATGCCAAAGAGAACACGTTTTGACTGAAAATAGGATTATAGTTCTCACAACGGGATCCCCGATTTTGATTATTTTCCATTTGAGGGATCGGAGCCTCGTCCTCAGTAACGAGGTGTTGCTCCGGTCTGTCGTGGGGAAGAAAGAGTTGATCCGAAAGGCAAAGCTCTGAGTTTAATGTCTACGTTCCAACCTTCACCTGAGGTCATGATGAGGTCAAACAGCTGAAATGAGCTTTCTTTGTAGGATTGGGGAGGCTCAGAGTAGAACCGCTGCTCCTCCACATAGAAAGGAGTCATCTGAGGTGGCTCATCTGATTAGGACACCTCTGTTTAGAGGGATGTCCCACCATGGAGTCCTCGGGGCAGACCCAGAACTCTCTGAAGGGATTATAGATCCTTTCTGGCCTTGGAACGCCTCATGGTCCCCCAGGAGGAGCTGGAGTGTTGCTGGGGGGAGAGAGGTCTGGGTTTCCGTCCTGGACCTGTTGCTTCCATGACCCACCTTCTTTCCTCGTTTCTTGTTTAAGGATATCGGGTTGGTATGATCAACTGCAAGGACAGAAACTGGGTGAACTAAAAGAGACCGTATCACCCGCTGCCTGATGTGAGGATTTAAACTAAAATTAATCTGTAGAGCGGGAGTTTGTAAGGAAAAAATCAGCCAGGGTCCAAAGACAAACTTCAAATTATTCCTAAAAGCCAGAGGACCTGTTGATCCAGACCACTAGAAGATTACAAGAAAGACCAGCTGCTTGGGAGGGAAAACTGGAGCCGGATGAAGACTTTTGCACAGCTCTGTATCCAGGATAAAAAGTTTAATTGGTAGATTTTTATTTTAACGTTACAGAACACAACTTTGTTGTTTAATAAACATCAAATTATAAGAAAATGTGAAGAAAGCCAGTTTTCAGTCCTGTGTCGTTTCTGTGCTGGGTCGTCTGAAGGTTCGGTTCTGGACCCGCGGCTCGGTTCTGGACCCGCAGCTCGTGTCGTAAAGATGCCCGACATGATTTATGACGGAGCTCTTCCAGGAACAGATCAGAGGCTCGTGTTGCAGAATGATCGCATGAAGGCGTGAAGGTTCTGCCTGTACCGAACCCGTGACGGGCGGGTGTTCAGAACTCCTGTGCCGACCTGCAGAAAGCGCACGAGCCTCGTGCACGTGCCTCATGCAAACTGTAACCGGATCGCTCTGCTCTTTGTGTGACAGATTCCAGTCGGAGCGCGAGTCGGGAGACCGGAACTTCGCCATCGGCTACTACCTGAAAGAAAAGAAGGTTTGTCTGCAGATTAAACCGTTTTTAATCCCGTCTGTGTGCCGGGAAACGTTTTTACTGAACAGAAACAAACCACAAACGAAGTTTACAGATGAATAATGCAACATGATGAATTTAAACAAGAAGAATGAAAATATTTAACAGATAATCTCATCCAAATATCCATCCATCCGTTCATTAATTTATTAATTCATCCGTCTGTTCAGACATTTTCCTCCACTTGTCTGATCCAGACCCAGACCCCCCTCTCTCCAGCTCCTCCTGGAGGATCTTAAATTTTTCCCAGACCAGCATGGGTACACGATCGCCCTACAGAGTTCAGAGTCTGCACTGGAGTCTCCTCCCAGTAAGACGTGTCTAGGAAACCTCCAGAGGGATGAGTTCTGATCGCTTTGGCTGCTCTTGACGAGGAGGCGCCTCCTTCTGGATAATGAAGCTCCTCGGCTCATCGTGTCCACTTTATGAAGGAAGGTTGTTTTAGCTGCTTGAATCCAGGATCTGGTTCTTTCAGTCCTGATCCAAACCTCATATGGAACTAAATCTACAACCCAGAGCTTTAGCGCCTGCTTCACCACGGCAGACCGGAATAACACCCAGATTACTGTCGACGAGGCCCGGATCTGTCTGTCCTTTCCCCAGACTTCCAGATATGAGCTGATTGTGGTGCTGAGAGTGCAGAGACCTCCCTCTTTGGTTCTACGAGGGCTGGATAGCCCTTAACTGAACCCTGACACTGGAACGGTGGAACAGTTGACGGCATCAACAAAATCCAACCCAAAACCCAGAAACGCTGTCGAACCTCCTCATGTCTGAGCTAATTTATGGTAGAAAACTGCTCAGCATCTGTGAACCCTCACAGGACCGGTTTCAGGTACTCTGCTTCTTCAGCGGGGTGGGACACCCAACAGTTCTGACATGTACCGGCTCCAGAACCTGACGGGTTTATATCTGCTTACCTCAACTTGAATATTACAGGTTTTCAGGTCAGGTTGTTCCATTAAACGTTTAATTTTTCAGTCTGAAAATGTTCCTTTGTGTTTGTCTGCAGTGTTTCCCTGAAGGAACCGACATGACGTCAGTACTGGACCTGTACTTTCAGGTGTGTTGTCCTCCATATTTATACATAAGTAGAGAAACTGCATTACCTGCGAAAATGCAGTGTGAATGCTTATTGCAGAAAAACTTGCTGAAAAACAGCTGAAATGGAAGAACAAGCATAAGATAGCAGAACAAAGCAGAAAGAACACATATGTGCTGAATTGGTTTAAATAATCATAAATTAGCTAAAAAAAAATGTGGAATTAGCTGAAAAAGCTGAGGGTAGCACAAAAACAGCTAAAAAGTAGCTGAAAAAGCAGATAAAGCTTAAACTAGCAGAAAAAAGCTTAAAGTAGCATAACCAGCTGAAATTTGCAGAAAGGAGTTAATGTAGCTGAAAGTAGCAAAAATTACCACAAAAAAAATTGAATTAATCCAAAAACAGCTGAAATAAGCTAAAAAAAAAAAAATGCCTTAAACAGTGCAGTAGCTTAAAAGATAGAACAAGCTTAAATTAGCAGAATAAAGTAGAAAGAACACGTTTGCTGAAAGACGCAGAAATGAGCACAAAAAGTGGATATTATCTGGAGAGAGAAAAAGCTGAAATTAGCAGCAACAAAAAAAAAAACCAGCTGAAAATTAGCTTAAAAAGCTGAAATTACCAAAAGCAGGTGGAAGAACACATTTTTGCTAAATTAGGACGAAAAAAGTTGCAAAGTGTGCAAAACGTGGAATTAGCTGAAAAAGCTTAAATTAGCATAAAACAGCAATAGCTGAAATAGTTGAAAAGCTTAAACTTGCAGAAATAAGCTGAAAGGAGCATAAAAAGCTGAAATTAGCAGAAAGAAGTTAGAAGAAGCACAAAAATGATTTAGTAAGAAAGAACCTGAAAGGAACACAAAACAGCTGAAAGTAGCTGAACAAAGTTTTAATTTGCACACGGAAGCTGAAAGAAGCTGAAGCAGAACAAAATGTGAAAGGAGCAGTAAAAGGTTGTAAACGCATCTAAAGATTTAAAGGATGTAAAATGAGCTCAATTAATTTTCTATGAGAGAAAAAAAAATGGCAGAAAAAGGCTAAATATTTCAAAAGGTTAAAGTTGCACCAAAAGTCATAGCAGGATTGTCCTGAAAGAGCTGAACGTTTTGATTTATGATCTGTTGAAATAGCTTGAAGCTGGAGGACGAGAATTGCGCTGAAAAATGTACGAAAGAAATGATCACAATGTTTCATAAACATTCACACTATTAATGAGAGTATGACCTTCCTGCTGCTGCTTTATTATTTAATGTGTCCCCGAGTCCCTTAAAATAATTTTATTCTCAATCTGCTGCTCTTAATTCACATTTTGTGCTAAAATTGCCCTCAGAGAATAATCTGTCGTTGTGTTTTGTGTCCGTCCAGCTGTGCGCCATGGAGGTGACCTGCGAGAGCGCCAGCGTCATGGCGGCCACTCTGGCGAACGGCGGCATCTGTCCGATCACGGGTGAGCGCGTCCTGAGCCCCGAGGCGGTGAGGGACACGCTGAGCCTGATGCACTCCTGCGGCATGTACGACTTCTCAGGACAGTTTGCCTTCCACGTGAGTAAAACCCACGTTTGGACCGGTTTTGTTGGTTTTAAAAAGACTGGGTCTTGAAGACCGGTGTTCCAGTGGTACCTGGGACAGAACACAGAACCTCTAATGTGAGGCGGTTGCTTTTTAAACAAGTTTACACACATGTTGCTCAAATAATACACACACGGCTAAACTCGGTAAATTTAAAACTAAAATAAAACTGCATGTTTACAAAAACAAATTAGGACAATTGGAAAAGATGTAGCTGAAAGCTGCATGTAGCAAGCAGGAGCTAAAAGCTAGAAGCTAGAATTTTAAATGTAACACAGCTAAAATTGACAAACGGGAGCTAACGGAGACAACAACGGGAGCTAACGGAGACCACAACGGGAGCTAACGGAGA